CAACTTTAAGTGAGGCCGAACTCAATCTAAGCTTAGGGACGAGTTATCCATTCTATGATGTTTGTATAAACACAGATGCAGCAATCTCCCATCAGAGTGTCTCAAACAACCATTCTCTTGACATGCTACAGCGAGCGAACCGTAAGCAAGGAGTAGAACATGTGGTGAGTCATAACAATTGGCGAACACATAACATCGGTTTCAGTGGAGCAACTGCAGGCGATTTCACAGCAACAAAAGAAGCGCTTTGGAGGAGTTTAACTGAGGCTTACTGAGTCACCGGTGCACAGTATATCAGTGAACGTGACAGAAGCTGGGCCTCAATCTTCTTTTGCAGCTGCTGTTGCTAGCCCCACTACTGAACCTGGACGAACTTACGAAAACTGGTTCGACAAGTACCACATTTCAAACCACCTTTGACGCACGAAAGTTCAACTGTTGCTGAGGAAACGTAGGATAACTGCACATGATCACATATTTTGCACACCCCTAATTCCCTTGTGACCCCGATTTCACTGACAGCATCAATATCCCGGTCAAAATCTTCAGTGGCGAGAGTCAGTAGCAGTATTCAACGAGCGCATACTGCTATAACCCAGTGAGCTACACTGGAGGGTTTCAATCTGACACACGCAGTTCCTCAAACCAGGTTGACTAGCGGACAGAAGTCTGACGAACCTGGTCCTCCAGGATAGGCACTGGCAAATTTTTGCTTAAAAACCCAGTATTACTGTATTAGGGGTAGTATTATCAGAAAGCAGTCGCGCGACTCCTCGTGATGCCAACTAAGAAGCCCGGACGTCAGTCGGGATAAGCAAGCAGTTCGACAACTCCAGACAGGGCCAAGCTCTCTGCTTGGTTTCAACGTGCTGATTGATTTCGACGTACATGATTCATCTAGCGCACTTCCGTACGCAAGGAAACACTTCTTAGAGCCGTCTTTAGCTAGCCCGTCATGTGCCGGCCAACCGAAAGAGCCAACTACGCCAGTATCCACACCTCACGTTACTAAGGACGGAAAGATGAAGCCAGGGCTGTGTTCGATGGGTCGTCGAAGGGTTTATACAAAAGTAATTGCGGCCTATCCCTGGACGCCGAGTGATATTGGAAACAAGTGCTCTCTGTTACAAAATGGGGATAATCGACCAAGTCACGCGGTGTTGTTGGAGTTTAATCCAGTCAATTACACGTACGTTAGAAAGTCGGTCGCGATATTCATTTATTGGGTAATTCGTCCCCAATTTTGAATCTCACGCCCAGGACGCTTTGCCAGCCCAATGTCAACACACCCAATGGTATTTCAGTTTACTATAAGGCAAGTAATAATATTATTATCTGCGGGTTGTCCAATACGTGTGCCGCGCCGGTTTAAGTCTAGCTCCCAAAGTCCGAAGTCCGATTTGGCCAAATCAGCTGAGACCGATTAAAAATCAATACATGCTTGCTCGATGACTTCATAAAGTATTGGCTGATCGCTGGAGCCGCAGACTGCGGCTGTCTCCACACCAGTTTGTATTCCTACATGATGTTGTACTCAGCTTAGTTCCCGGCTTGAAAATCCCAAGCTAGCATGCCCGTCAAAAACTACGGTGCAAAACGTATATCAAGCCAAAAATCAGGCCAAGACGGCCAAGAAGGCAATGCTCTCAAATTGATGACGCCTTCCGGATACGCCATGGGGAGCAGGCGTTCGGCAAATGCTGGGTCGTGATTGGCTATTGGGTTCAGACTTTCGCCTTGATACCGGATTGGCAAGCGGCCCGAACTGTTGCCTGACCTAGTGTGGGATGGTTTTCCGCTGCTGCCTATTTGCACACCCAAATTATGTTCGCCGAAACCATAGGGTCTTCGAAGTTGTGACTTTAACGGGGAGTTAGTCAAAACCATTTGCACCTTCCGGTGACACGTTACATGCGGCATTTTTTTAAGTGAGAGAAATTTCAAGGTCATCGACCATCATCGATTGGAATTTCCTGACCGGTTATAACATATTTTGGCGTTCTTCCGTATTCCTTAAGAATAAGAAACGTCTAAAGAATATCTAATTCAACTTTCACCCTTGAAGACCGGTCGTTGACGTTTGTTTGCTTTACACTCCCCAGATTTAATGAATGCGGATGATCATCGTCGAACCTGGTCACAACACATTTTACCGTGAATCTCAGATTCTGTTAAGTAGTAGTGCTTAACTACGGCGCCAGTAAGTCTACAGTTTCGCTTTGCACCGTGGTTCTGATATTCCAGTATCGCTGATTCTTCTATTCCGTCATTCACGAGAGCCCATTTGCCACACAATTTTAGCTACAAAACCTTCACCAGGGAAGTAAAACGTTCTGCGCCAAAATGTTTCGTTTTTTGAACGTGTGCTCCAACCAAAAGCCATCAAATACATATTCATGTTTTTGCAGCTCACAGAATTCTATCGTCCTCAGGAGGAATCATACCATATCATAGCCGAAGAGTCTGGCTGAATGATTCCACAGCGTAACCGAGACCCCGGGATGCCTGAATGCAGCCCACAGGTTCGGACTGGTACTCTTAATTCAATTACACGATTACTCCAGTCCATCAGGAACACGTCATAGCCTAGAAAATTCCATTCCATTGTGCGAATACTGAGTGGCTCATCCCCACTTATGCCTTTCGTCACACTGGCCGAAAGCCCAGCTGTCAAAGGCCACGAAGCCATCGCAGTGGTTTTCAGTTTTAGTTTATGATTGACTGGCAGGATTACGGCAACAATTCAAGCTCCTAAGGGTCTTTGTTCTGCACCTTCATTTTCCGTCAGTTGCAGTGCCAGGCCGGATACCTCCAATTTCGCTTTCTGCGCTTTGTATTTGCGCGACACCTTTAGATTTTAATTCATTTTGCTTCGGTTTGGTACGCTTCACAAAAGATAGAAGAACCCTAATAACTGCTTTTATCGACCGTTGGCGTCCACTTTAGTCTGACACTGCCGGTTTAGGCGTGATCGCGTGAATGCTCCCATAGCCCGGGACGTTCGAAATCGGTTCCGTTTTTCCCTCGTGCAAATTTGTGAAATTTTTTTCGTTTATCAATCTATTCGCAGAGTACACGCGAGTAATTGTGGAATTTTATTACTCTAACAAAACATTTGAGAGATAACCCTTTATATTTTGCGCACACTTCCTACTTTACATCTAGCCCTAAACATGACATCAATTTATACCGACTGCCTTCAGCAACCATTGACAGACCACAACGGATGTGGCGAAATGGCTGCCCGTCGAACGTCAAACGCGGTATGCAATGCCACACCTACAAAGCCTGGTGGATTTCAAATGCACGGGTTTACAGGACGACCAGATAAGCCGACTTGCCAACTCTCCTGACCCGTTTGTCTGGGGCAGCTGCCTCTACGTCAAGGGTGCAATGCATACCGCAGCGAAGAGGAGAGTCCCTCAAAACGGTAACCAATCCCCAGTGCAGATTCATAAACACCACTGTCAGTGTTCCGCTCTGATCGGGATACTCGACGCGAAATTGGCGCGTCTTTCAAATGCACTGGAGGTCTCAGACACTAAAAATGCAGCGACTTGGATGAAAGTTGACAAGGGACTTTCTTCGCTGAACGAGTACCTTGCGATATCCATACCGAGCCCTCTGGCTGCGAGGAAAGTAATGCAACTCTCTGACGAGGCTATAAAGACTGCCACAGCGTCTCTAGTGGACAGACGCCTAAGGGAAAGCAGATTGACAATCTGGGGTCATTCTCCGGACAAATCACACCAGCGAAGCCGGCACAATCATTCCTTAGGAATGTCCTCACCAAGCGTGACCAATCGTTCCACGCAGAATGATTACGCCAGAAGGGAGGCAAGCGAACGCTTGGACTTCTTGTCACTCTTTCTTCCCCATCCGACGTACAGGAGATCTTGGAGTGGGCTGGAAGCATTCAAAAGACCAACCCAATGATCAGGCACCTATCTGAGGATCGTCCTCTAGACGCGCGTAAGCTTGGTCATAGCAGGTCAGGAGTGGAAGTACGAAACAGGCTTCCACTGGGCACCAAACCAGACGACCCCAAACTCATGACCAAGCCGATTGTGGTCATATCCCATTGTACTCCCGAAAGCAGGCCGACAAAACCAGCTGCGAGGCCGGACAGCAGTTTCTATTTGACCACCACAGGCCTCTCGCTCACTAAAGGCAGTGATGCCCTGGAGGAGGCAAACCTCACATGCAAGCAGCGCCCAAAGCACATGAAGCTATCAACGGTTATCTCCGTAACAGACAACACAGCTGCAGCCATGCACTCCTCAACAAAGCCACAGCCTCTGAACTGTACTGAGTCAGATGTTCGGGGACAAGCAGCGAAACCAATCTTCAGCTCCACTCCGTCAAAATGGGTCTCTGCTTGTGGACAGAGCCGTCGCTCAGGACCCCGACAACCTATGCAATAATCAAGACTACAACCATCCGAAAAATCCCTCGTACATCCAGTTAACCACGCTGATCGCCGGCGGATCGGGTGTCCACACAAACACGAAAGAAGAGCGGCTGCAGCCAAACAAGCCACATAAAATTCGCCAGATTAGAAAACGGCTGGCTGGCTTCAAGTTGCAACCCTCCGCGAAAACGAGCATCTTGGGAACGCCACCAAAATCATTACTTCTTTTTGCCGCCATCCAGCGCCCAGGGCCTCACAGAGACACTTTTCCGGCCAAACCGCGCCAAAACACCCAAGGATCCAGAAGGTTAAAGCTTGCCGTAAATCCCTGATCAACAGCAAATCTGGTCGCCAAAATGGGGGTGCTGAAAGAGTTACAAACAGCAACGGTCGAAATTTTCGCCCACGGGGAAAAGACCTCGTCCCCCAAAGCCAAAAGGCCCGAGCAAACCGGGCCCCCAACGGAACGAAAAAAACCTCGCAAGCAAAAAGCACCCCCAGAAACCACGAAGACAGAAAGCAGACGACATCGCCCCGGAGGCCCCTTCGGAGCTTTGGACTCAAACCCGGCGCACAACTATTAAGTCTGCTAACCACCTGGCCACTCAACTTTCGGCTCCTCACCCTCGGAGGCATCAGAGATGGTGTTGAAATGCTTGTCCACAAACTGCCTCACCCTTTCCAACAGATTCGGCGATGTTAAACAGTCAACTTACCTCGAACAACCGTCCATAATCGCACCCACAGAGACTTGGCTCACACCAGATGTCTCTGACGTGGAGTTCTCAATAGACGGCTACTATTTTTCGAGCCGACCCAAAACGAAGGCGAGCAGGTGG